CTGTCACCAGTTTTCTCCTCATCACATGACCAAAGAATGTAGACTGTCTCTTTCTGATGTAAGCAATCAGTTCTCTTCGTGAGTCAGTTTCTTTCAAGACGTCTTCATTATTCTTTTTATTTTGTCCAGGGTATTCTCATCATCCGTCTAAAGAAACACATCTCCGCAGCTTTCAAATAAGTTTTCACGAATCTACCAACTGTCCATGATTTACTATCATATATGAAGATATGATTTATACAGCTTTTAAGAATCCCCTCATTTCTCTCAACTGACAAAAGAAAGATTATATAAGAATATTATTCTTATTGTAAAATGCTGCCTTTGCTAGAACTATTCGACATTTAACTTCTTTAATACATCTTCTATCTGAAGTTATCAGGGTACCCAAGTTCTTAAACATTTCAAATCGTCAACAAGTAGTCTCTTTTTAACACATGCTGGTTGTAAACTCCAGAGGAAAGTTCTAGCAGTTCGTCGACTTTAAGACTTCGGCCGTGTTCTAGAACTTGTTTTACAAGTAACAGGTCTAATTATGGATTGGAGACTAAGATTAATTTTAGAGGTGACAAGTCTGATTATGGCATCGGAGAGTTAGACTGATCTTACAGGCGGTAAAGTCTAGGGAAGACATCAGTGGATGACGCTCATCTTTCAGGGTAAATGTGCCTGTAATTTGATCATCTCTCATGTGTCAGGATCTGCGACTCCAGCATTGCGAACACACTTCATAACACCAGAGTGGCGGGTTTCATCTCAACTGCAGGCGATATGGCAGCAGACTGCCTTGCGTTGGTTTCGACAGTTGTATCGAGAGCTGATAGTTCAGAAGGAATGGCAAACTAGTGGTGAACGTAAATTTACCTACACAAAAAAAAAAAAAAACCATAACAGCAACAACAACAAATGCTAGGGTTGATTCGGCAAACATCTTATAAAGCAGTGTTTTTCAACTGATGGACTGCGGGTCATGGTAAAGTCTGGACCACCAAACATGTCTACCTTATCATGTAACAGGGTTCCCTGTGTGGGTTCTGAGACCCACTGTGGGGAAAACAAGAATAGACCCACTTCCTCCCCATCAAGCATGTCGTAGAAGTCTAATTTGGGTCTTCGGCTCTCCTCTCAACTACGGCCGGTAGACAACAGTAGACGGCCGGTTAGTCGGAGTTCTGTCCCCTGGCTGCAGTGCAATTACGGACTGGAGAAGGCACGAATCAGACCACAAAGTGAGGTCGACATGCCTAGCAGACCCCGCGCTGCGACTCAAATTAGCGACCGCGATCAATTATCGCGTCTTGCGAGGCATTACGTAGTGGATTAGAGGGAACGATTCAAGTGACAGACTTACTGTGTGTTGGCGATAGACAGAGCGCAGTGCCCTACTGTCATCATACGGTTTGGGTTAGGGTGTGCGTTACGGTTAGGGGTAGGGTTTGGGTTAGGTTTAGAGTTTGGGTTGCTACTTTGAGTTTGTGCGATGACGAGATGCGGCGACACTACCCGGAGCCCTAACACTAAACCTAACCCACACCCTACCCTTAACCCTAACCCTAAACCAAACCCTAAGCATATGATTATAGCAGGACAGTGCACGCTGTCTATCGCCAACACACAGTAATTATGTCATTTGTTTCGTTTCCTCCTGTCCAGTCCGTAATTGCACTGCAGCCAGGGGACAGAACTCCGACTAACCGGCCGTCTACTGTTGTCTACCGGCCGTAGTTGACAGGAGAGCCGGGGCTTCCTTCGAAATCGGAGTGCATCTGCCCGAACGGCAAGGAACAACCAACTGCACACAAATAAGCCAGTAAAACGGAGGTACACGCAAAACTCAGGCCAAGCACTAAGCCTAAATCGAGGAACAAGCAGGACTTTCCACTGAAACTTACAGCCTGTCAACAAAGAAGATGTAACATGGCAGGGGATGTAGTTTTCTACTCCAGAACTGAGACTGTAGGATTCACTTCTCAACAATTACAACCAAACATACACATCTTGAAAACTCCATTTAAAAAACAACTATATGGGGCATTCTGATGCATATTGTTACCTATAAGCAGCAGCTTGCGTCACCATTACTGGAGATTGTAACTTTTTGGCCAGGGATTTCACAAATGAACTGCGCGAGGAGTTACCAGTTGATCTGGCCGACGCTCAACACTCAGGGGAAGGATGAGACGGATACACAATCAGACGGTTACTGGTGCCATCGGAATGGGAACTCTTCACTTGCTGCTGAAGGTGGGGACGGAGCACTTATGGAAGTGTTCCGAGTGCTGTGATGTCGATTATCCTGTTTTGGTGGGCCCCATGTGTGAAGAAAAAAAGGTTTCGGGAACGCTATACTGTCAAAGATATACAACAAACTGTTCTCTCTGTGTGCGCACGCGTGCGTTAACCTCTCAGGTAGTATAATCAAAGGTATGTATGCAATTAAATTTACGTTATGCTGATGACACAGTCTTGATAGCAACAAATCAGAAAGAACTACAGGAAATGATAGACATTGTTGTGTTAGAAAGGGGAAGAATGGGCCTGTTACAATAATGGGAAGACAGAAGTAATGGTGGTATTAAAGAAACGAATTATTCCTAAATGTGTAATAAAAATGGATGGTGTTATTTTAGGACAAGTACATAAATTTAAGTATCTGGGCATATGGATAACATCAGATGGAAGATGCATAACTGAGATATGAGAATAGGACAGGCAAAAACTGCATTTTTTAAAATGAATATCTGGTGCAATATATCCTTGTCATTGAGTTAGAAAAAGAATTCTTGCTCACTGCATACATCCAGTTTTAAAAATGGCTGTGAATCCTGGACAATCGGTAGGCAGGCCAAACAATTTCTAGAGGCCTCAGAGATGTGGTTTTACAGAAGACTGCTTAGAATACCTAGGACAGCCAAAAAGAGCAACCAAGAGGTTTTGAAAGAGGTGGGAGCCCAAAGACAACTTATCACAGACATCAGGAGACATCATTTTTCGGCCATATTATGAGAAGAGGGAAAATAAAACATGTTGTGACCACTGGAAAGATCTGTGGAAGGAGGGATAGAGGAAGACGAGAGAAGATGCTTGACAGTCTTGTTGCATGGCATGGAGGTGTGTCGGCACACGAACTGGTTCATGCTGCAGGAGATCGTGGATTATGGAGAGACATGATCGCCCATGCCAGTTGGCAAGGCATCTGACGATGATGATGCAATTAACCCAACATTCAGTTCGGAAGACAAGCAATAAAACTAATAAAATCAAAGATAAATTGTATTCCATTGTTTATTCAAGTAACAATATCACACCTAACATAATCAGACTTGTAAAACATTTCCATTATGTTTCAAGTTTACATTTACATTAACTGAGTCTAATTAATTATGTTTAACGAAAGAATTTGCAAAACCACCAGCAGTAAAAGGCTCTTTTAATAAATCTGGAAAAAAAACGACAGCAGCAAAATACCCGATCTGTTGATTATCAGTATCTAGATGTTAGGCTGTGTCTCGAGTCACAAAAATGTGACATCTAATATAATAAGTATGTATAACGAACATTGTATTACAAGAATGATACTTGTTTTAAAAAAACTGTCTGTCATGATAATATCATCATAGCTAGGAGGAATATCAGAATGTGGGAACGGATCTATGTCCAAGAAAACATGGCAGTATATGATGAGAGTTTATCTCAGTTGAGGGTCTTCACTTTACTACAAAGATTTCAGATTAATTGTCACCAGTGAAAAATTGAGTACATTCCCTTGTCTCCACCCAAAACAGAGTATATTCCCTTGTTTCCGCTTAATTTCCCTTGTCACCAGCAAAAAATAGAGTACATTCTCTTGTCTCCACACAAAATGGAGTATATTCCCTTGTTTCCGCTCAATTTTCCCTGTCACAAGTGAAAAAAATAGTACATTCCCTTGTCTCCAGTAAAAACAAGTACATTACCTTGTCTCCACCAAAAATAGTGTACATTCCCTTGTTTCCACTCAAATTCCCTTGTCTCTGGCCAAAATTGTATCGTCTCAATCTAAAGCAGAGTATGCTTCAAAACAAGCTGGTTTATGTACAAATGGGTTGGTGGATGATGTTTATCATACTACGTAAATTACATGACCAGATAAAACATAAATTGAGTGACAGCCATGAATAAAACAAATGATCTGCAGAAAAGGTAGAGGGTGTCAATAAACTGCAATATAAGCTATACTGCTCTTTTGCTTAAACAGCTGCAGTTACCCCAGTTAAATCACTGTTAATATTCAACTGTATTTACCATCTTTATAATTTTACCATGTTTACAGCACTCTACATCCAAAGAAAATCACTGAATATTTTGATTTCAGCTTGTCTGGTATTTGTGCAGCTAAGAAGTGTACACTTATGAATTCAGTCCTAGTTCCCCTCTCAATGTCTGATCATCCTACTGAGGTGATCATTACCAAACTGATAACTAATAAGTCAGTTATCTTTTAAACACGTAATTAGCTTTCTTTAAATATTTGCATGTTGATTACCTATCCTGACTGTATTTATATGTTGATGACAAAACAAAACAAAAGACCATTTCATTTATAAATTGGAGAGTCACAGTAAAGTAAACCATGTGTGGCTAGTTAGAAAAGAAAACAACAACAGAAAAAAACCTGTGTACATCTTTACACCCAATATTTAAAAAGGAAACAAAGAGAAAAAAAGAAACCAATGAAATCATGCTCAGTGAGAGCTGCAAATGTTTAAAAAAAAAAAAAATTCAGCCAATCAGGACAAACATCTGCTTTCAGGACATAATCAAGAAATGCATCACATTTACCCACATACACAACAACTCCCATTCAAAAAGAAAGAAAAAGATCCCTGTACTATTCTATAATAAATCTCTGCTAGTCCCTTAAGTCTGCTAGTGCTATTTCTGCACCAGCTAACATGGCCATTTGACTTGTGCACATTATGTAGATGACTGGACACTGGTCAGTCTTCCATTACTGGGTCTCATTGCTTGCTAAAATACTCCTGGCTTGCCTTAGGATCAGGCTTCATGGTCTCCTTGCCCGGCCTCCAGCCTGCAGGACACACTGAAAGCAAACCACAACACAACTAAATTACTTCATGGACAGGTAGGAATGTGTGACTAATTCAGTTACAGATAATAACTATGGCATAAACATGTTTCTAGACTTGAGAGAAATTGTGATTAATTCAATTACAAATAATAACTATACCATAAACTTCACTGGACAAGTAGGAAAGTGATCAACTCAGAGAGAATACTATAAAATAAACTTCATTGGACACGGAGTGGTTATTCAGTTATATTAATTTTTTATCAATTGTTACAAATAATATATGGGATCAGGCAAAAGGGGTGCAGTGCAAAAACACTTCAGATTTGCGACTAAAAACTAGCACTCGACTGATGCTGTAGACAGTATCATGATTGCTGCCTTTAGTTTCTACATTTCATGGCCTAAATGTTCAGGCTGGGTCAACACCTCCATGTATGAAAGCATGTCACTCAATGCCATCATGTACATACAAGACAGCATATAAGACTTTACAAAAATTTCTGCTCTCTGTATAATCATTTACAGACAGTATTGTATCTTTCATATTCACTTCACTAACCACACTTACTGAAGCCAACCAGCTGTGGCACCTAATGCCAACTTTCTTGCAAACAATCACAACACTAACTTACTTACCAATCACTATCCCAACTTACTGGTAACCTTCACCACATATACATACATTAACCAACACAACATAGACAGAGACAATAGCCACCATACGCTGATACCATCCAGCAGGCCCCAACCACCACCAACCAACAGGCACTGGCACCAACCACAACCAACCAGCAGGCAATAGCACCACCTACCACCAACCAACAGGCACTAGCACCATCAAACCACTAACCAAAAGACACTGGCACCAACCACCACCTTCAAACAGGCACTGGCACCAACCACCACCTACCAGAAGGCACTAGCACCATCCACCACCAATCAACAGGCACTGGCACCAACCACCACCAACCAGCAGGCACTAGCACCATCCACCACCAACCAACAGGCACTGGCACCAACCACCACCAACCAACAGGCACTAGCACCATCCACCACCAACCAACAGGCACTGGCACCAACCACCACCTTCCAACAGGCACTGGCACCACCCACCACCTTCCAACAGGCACTGGCACCACCCACCATCTACCAACAGGCACTAGCACCATCCACCATCTACCAGCTGGCAACACCCACCACCAACCAACAGGCACCACCCACCAACAGGCACTAGCACCACCCACCATCTACCAACAGGCACTAGCACCACCCACCATCTACCAACAGGCACTAGCACCACCCACCATCTACCAACAGGCACTAGCACCACCCACCATCTACCAACAGGCACTAGCACCACCCACCATCTACCAACAGGCACTAGCACCACCCACCATCTACCAACAGGCACTAGCACCACCCACCATCTACCAACAGGCACTAGCACCATGCACAAGCTGGCACCAACCACCACCTACCAACAGGCACTGGCACCACCCACCATCTACCAACAGGCACTAGCACCATCCACCATCTGGCACCAACCACCACCTACCAACAGGCACTGGCACCACCCACCATCTACCAACAGGCACTAGCACCATCCACCATCTACCAGCTGGCAACACCCACCACCAACCAACAGGCACCACCCACCAACAGGCACTAGCACCACCCACCATCTACCAACAGGCACTAGCACCACCCACCATCTACCAACAGGCACTAGCACCACCCACCATCTACCAACAGGCACTAGCACCACCCACCATCTACCAACAGGCACTAGCACCACCCACCATCTACCAACAGGCACTAGCACCACCCACCATCTACCAACAGGCACTAGCACCACCCACCATCTACCAACAGGCACTAGCACCGCCCACCATCTACCAACAGGCACTAGCACCACCCGCCACCTACCAACAGGCACTAGCACCACCCACCATCTACCAGCTGGCACCACCCACCACCTACCAACAGGCACTAGCACCAACCACCATCTACCAGCAAGCACCGGCACCAACAGGCACTGGCACCAACTGTCACAAACCTGCTCCTATCTACATCTATCTGTGGCAACATACCTTCACCATGCTTGTCTGTGAACTGGAAAGCTTGCACCAAACGAAGCGTCTCATCCACAGATCTGCCCACTGGCAGGTCATTGATGGTGATCTGTCGGAGGTTGCCTTTGTCATCAATAATGTATAGACCTCTGTAAACATTAAAGACATTATATATTAGGCTCATAAAGACAAACAATTCAAAAACATAAATTACATAAACAACTTTGTCTGATATGTCTCAGAGTTTACTTCAAATTTACCCCAAAGTCACAATATATGAAGAAAAGTTCATCAACGTTAGACTTCTACATTTTACAGAACTCAGAATAGCGTATAATAAACAGTCACTATGAGACTCATTCAAGACATTTTCCTCAATGTTCTAAATGCTTCAAAATAGTTATACGACTAGCTATTTACACTAAAATCTAATTATAGAGTAAAAGGTCCAATCAACACTTGGAGGAACTGAAGCAAGAACATTGAAAAAGAGCTCAGACCAAGTACAAAAACAATCACAATAAAACTCATTCAAGGAATGACAACAAGACTAACACAAAAATGTAATTAATTGCTCTATCAAACAAAACTCTGCCTCATTGCTCTATCAAACAAAATTCTGCCTCATTGCTCTATCAAACAAAAAATCTGCCTCATTGCTCTATCAAACAAAAAATCTGCCTCATTGCTCTATCAAACAAAACTCTGCCTCATTGCTCTATCAAACATAAAATCTGCCTCATTGCTCTATCAAACAAAAAATCTGCCTCATTGCTCTATCAAACAAAAAATCTGCCTCATTGCTCTATCAAACATAAAATCTGCCTCATTGCTCTATCAAACAAAAAATCTGCCTCATTGCTCTATCAAACAAAAATTCTGCCTCATTGCTCTATCAAACATAAAATCTGCCTCATTGCTCTATCAAACAAAAAATCTGCCTCATTGCTTTATCAAACAAAAAATCTGCCTCATTGCTCTATCAAACAAAAAATCTGCCTCATTGCTCTATCAAACAAAAATTCAGCCTCATTGCTCTATGAAACATAAAATCTGCCTCATTGCTCTATCAAACATAAAATCTGCCTCATTGCTCTATCAAACAAAAATTCTGCCTCACTGCTCTATCAAACAAAAATTCTGCCTCATTGCTCTATCAAACATAAAATCTGCCTCATTGCTCTATCAAACATGAAATCTGCCTCATTGCTCTATCAAACAAAAAATCTGCCTCATTGCTCTATCAAACAAAAAATCTGCCTCATTGCTCTATCAAACAAAAAATCTGCCTCATTGCTTTATCAAACAAAAAAATCAGCCTCATTGCTTTATCAAACAAAAAAATCAGCCTCATTGCTCTATCAAACAAAATTCTGCCTCATTGCTCTATCAAACAAAAAATCTGCCTCACTGCTCTATCAAACATAAAATCTGCCTCATTGCTCTATCAAACAAAATTCTGCCTCATTGCTCTATCAAACAAAAAATCTGCCTCATTGCTCTATCAAACATAAAATCTGCCTCATTGCTCAATCAAACAAAAAATCTGCCTCATTGCTCTATCAAACAAAAAATCTGCCTCATTGCTCTATCAAACATAAAATCTGCCTCATTGCTCTATCAAAAAAAATTCTGCCTCATTGCTCTATCAAACAAAATTCTGCCTCATTGCTCTATCAAACAAAAAATCTGCCTCATTGCTCTATCAAACAAAACTCTGCCTCATTGCTCTATCAAACAAACATCTGCCTCATTGCTCTATCAAACAAAAAATCTGCCTCATTGCTCTATCAAACAAAAAATCTGCCTCATTGCTCTATCAAACAAAAAATCTGCCTCATTGCTTTATCAAACAAAAAAATCAGCCTCATTGCTTTATCAAACAAAAAAATCAGCCTTATTGCTCTATCAAACAAAATTCTGCCTCATTGCTCTATCAAACATAAAATCTGCCTCATTGCTCTATCAAACAAAATTCTGCCTCATTGCTCTATCAAACAAAAAATCTGCCTCATTGCTCTATCAAACATAAAATCTGCCTCATTGCTCTATCAAACACGAAATCTGCCTCATTGCTCTATCAAACAAAAAATCTGCCTCATTGCTCTATCAAACAAAAAATCTGCCTCATTGCTCTATCAAACAAAAAATCTGCCTCATTGCTTTATCAAACAAAAAAATCTGCCTCATTGCTTTATCAAACAAAAAAATCTGCCTCATTGCTTTATCAAACAAAAAATCTGCCTCATTGCTCTATCAAACATAAAATCTGCCTCATTGCTCTATCAAACAAAACTCTGCCTCATTGCTCTATCAAACAAAATTCTGCCTCATTGCTCTATCAAACAAAAAATCTGCCTCATTGCTCTATCAAACAAAATTCTGCCTCATTGCTCTATCAAACAAAACTCTGCCTCATTGCTCTATCAAACAAAATTCTGCCTCATTGCTCTATCAAACAAAATTCTGCCTCATTGCTCAATCAAACAAAAAATCTGCCTCATTGCTCTATCAAACAAAACTCTGCCTCATTGCTCTATCAAACATAAAATCTGCCTCATTGCTCTATCAAACAAAAAATCTGCCTCATTGCTCTATCAAACAAAAAATCTGCCTCATTGCTCTATCAAACAAAAAATCTGCCTCATTGCTCTATCAAACAAAAAATCTGCTTTTACTGCTCTAAAAAAACAGGTCTCATTGCCCTAGAGAAAAAAATCCCAGACGATTGATATGAAGTAACAAAAAAAATCTGATTGACTGCTCCACCATCAAATTCTTCTGTGGGATTCAAGGACCAGCTCACATTTTCATTTAGTTCACTCAAAGAAAAAAACTTGCTCACTGATCCATGCATTTGGGCATTTATAAGCCAGCAAACTTGTGCCTGAGCAACACATACTCAAACAAATACAATCTGTTGGAGACTTAGGGGCAAGTTTTAGGTAGTGATACTGTCATCTTTGTTTTAACAGAGATCAGAATAGCATATAAAATAATCATGCAAAATTCACTGCAAAAAATTTCCCTTACTGCTCTACCTACAATCTTTATGAAACAAGAGAGCTGGTTCACATTTGGTTGTTGGCGTCAACAAGGTAGCTGTTAAATGTAAACACTGTGGAGACATGTAGATGTGTTATTACATTCAGACTGGTTGTGTTTCCATGTGCAAACTTCTGGGAGGGCACACTAGTATAGTAAAAAAAAAAAAGGAGGGGGGGGGGGGGGGGGTGTGTGTGTGTGTGTGTGTGTGCGCATGCATGCGTGCGTGCGTGCGTGCGTGTGTGTGTTTGTGTGTGTTCCCAGTGTGCTCACTACCAAGCATGTTAGGTAAAATCAAATGTTTTCGGCTAAATGATGCAAATATCGCAATCTTCTTCTTCTACTTTCGTTCGCTTGAAATAAGTTGTCTATATCAGCAATTTTGTCTCTTGTATAAATTTCACTGTTGTTAATACATTCAGTGGTCCATAGAGTTTACGTTCCACTGTTGTTCTTTCTGGCCAAAAGGTTTGCCTTAATGTGTCAAATTCGGTGCAGTCCTGGAGTACATGCTCTGCTGTCTGGGGCACCTTTCCACAGGTGCACATGTCGGATACGCCTATCTTGAATTTTGTGTACATGTGGTTAGGTAATCTGTCGTGCCCTGTTCTGAGGCGGAGGATAATGACTTGTTCCGATCTGTCCATAATAAAATAGTCGTCTTGTGCTGGGGCTGGTGGTTTCCGGATTGATTTAATGATTCTTTTATTTTGGTGGTATGTGACTGGTACATCCGGCTGCACTTTTGTCACACCTTCTCCTGCCAGGTGATCAGCTTTCTCATTTCTAGGCACTCCACAATGTGATGGTATCAACTGCATTACAACTCTTCGCTGAAGGCTAAGCTGTGTCAGCAGTGTTTGCAATTCTGGTAGTTTCCTAGACTGGAGTGCTTCAAGTACTGATTTTGCATCTGTCAACATTACCACATACAGTGAGCCAAGATTGGTATTTAGCAGTTTCTCTGTTGCTATCTTCAAGGTGTAAACCACAACACAACACGCCTCCAGTCCTTTAGACATTCAAGGAACAAGCTAATGATGTTTTGAAATTTGGGACCAACATATTAAAACATCAGACTTTACAGACTGCACAGTAACAGAACAATTATCATTCCAAAGATCTTTTCGGCTGCTCATTTCTCATATATTTCAAAGTCACAATATAATATGGATGCCACTACACGCATTTCAGACAGTTTATCAACACTAGATTTATATATATAATATAGAGCTCAGATTAGCGTATAATTAAAAAAGTCATGATGAAACTCATTCAGGGTATCTTCCTCACTGCTCCCTAAAGTGAACAATTTGTTTTTATACAACTAGCCGTTTGCACTACTGGCTACACTCAAATTTTATTTTAAATGGGGGGAATCAAAACTAGAAATTTGTTGTAACAGAGCTCAGAATAGCGTATAATTAGCAATCATAGTAAAATCATTCAAGGTATCTTCCTCATTGCTCCAGATTTCAAAATATTTACACGACTAGATTAAAACAGTCAAATATTATTATTTTACAATGTATAATCCTTTTTACACTCAGAGGAATCAAATCTAAGAACCTTAATGTAACAGAGCTCAGAATAGCGTATAAGAATCAATCATGATAAAACTCATTCAAGGTATCTTCCTCACTGCTCCATACACTGAGAATTCAAAAAAAAAAAAAAAACAGAATAGACATCTGCACTACAGTCTTATTTTAAATGTAGAACTCAAATCACATCATGGAGGAATTAAAGCTAGAAATGTGTTGTAGAAGAGCTCAGAATAGCGTATAATTAGCAATCATGGTAAAATCATTCAAGGTATCTTCCTCACGGCTCCACACATTTCAAAATATTTATACTACTAGACATTAAGACCATTGGCCTACACTCAAATATTCACATACATTGTGAAACACAATCTCAACTTGGGGGAAATCAAAGCTAGATCCTAGATGTAACTGAGCTCAGAGTAGTACATTATCATCAATCATGAAAATCCTCAATGACTGTAGGAATCTCCCCCACTGCTCCATACATTTCAAAAACATACAACTAGACATCTGCACTACTGGTCTACAATCAAATATTTATATACACTGTAAACTGCGAACCATACTTGGGGAATTCTAGACAAAACTATTTAACGGAGCTCAGAATAGCGTATAATAAAAAAATCATGGCAAAACTCATTTAAGGTATCTTCCTCACTGCTCCATGTTTAAAAATGTATAAAACTAGACGCCTGTACAACTTGCCTACATCCAGATACTCATATATATTGTAAACTCCAACCCATACATGGGGGAATCAAAGCAAGAAATATTTAACAGAGCTCAGAATAGTGTAAAAATAATCACTCATGAAAATACCCATTCAAGGAATCTCCGCTACTGCTGTACACTTTGAAAAACATACAACTAGACATTTGCAATACTGGCCTATATTCAAATCATACTTTTCCCCGTGTGGGTTCCGAGGCCCTATTATAGGGAAAAAAAGAATAGACCCACTGCCTACCCAAAAGCATGTCGTAAGAGTCGACTAATTGGGAGCTTCCTTCGAAGTCGGAGTGCATCTGCCTGAGAGGCAAGGAACCAGCAGTCTGCGCACAAATAAGACAGATCTGTAAAATGGATGCACACGCAACACTCAGATTTTGGAACAAGGCTGCAGTCCAGAGGTGGATGAACAACCAGAACTTTCCGCCAGAGTTTACAGCTGGTGACAGCGAAGAAGAAGAAATCATATTTTTAATATAGGCATTTATAAACTGAAGAATTTTTCCCCACTGGCACACACTAAATAATCTAATCTGAAAAAGTCATTTGGAGAAAAACTATAATTTCCGGAACAGAGCTCTGAACAGCAAATAATAAACAATCACGGCAAAATTCAATGAAATAATTTGTGGCGCGGTGATTTATGTCACAGGCGTGAGGGGAAGTTAAGCCCAACATGATGTGTATAAGGAGATACTCTCCGTACATCACTCGGGCGCCAGTCCTTCACTATCCTGGTTTTACGGAACCTTACGCAAGACCCCTGCAGCACGTCCTCGTCGTGCACCACAGATAATGTCTAAAATGAGTATTAACAGAGCTGTCAGGGGATCTCGGAGTTGGCGGCCCCCAGAGGTGATGTGTCCTTGTGGCTCTCATCAGCCCGCTCCCAAACGCTTGGGTGAAAAAGGTTATCAAAACTCATTAGGAACATGAGTATGTTTTCCAAATGTACAGCTAAAATTACAACCCTTGGTTAAAAGACTGCGGAGTGAAGAGAACATTGTTCACTGTACATCCTCTGTTAATCCTCAGTGTCGTCGTCACCGCGCTGAGGTACACCACAACAGCAACCATCTATAGGCTGGCCATCCATGTACATCCTCGGTTAATCCTCAGTGTTGTCACCACGCTGAGGTACACCACAACAGCAACCATCCATCGGATAGCTAAGCCTAAATGTCCAACAAATTGTATTGAACGGAAAAAGACCAAATGTCCACACCCAAAGACCCCACTCGCCCGAGTGTTGGAACCAAACTGATAACGATATGCCTGACGCAGGATGTAAAATTCTGTTGGGCTAAACAGCCCATCAAAGAAATCTAACGTGCGAAGAAAAATGTACCTATTCGTGTGGTCACAAAAGTCCAAAACCCACGGGCTGCTCCCCGCTGACCTCCAGAGGGCGCAGCCCTTGTGGAGCGGGAGGCCTAATACGGTTGTGAGGTTAAGCAGGCATGTGCAGGACGTGACGATTCCTTGGGTGAGCCCAGAACCAGAGCGCTGTGTGCCGGCTCTGCATACATGGAAGCCTCCTTGGATGGCGGGGAATGCCCATGATCTGCCCCTGCCTTCCCTTGAGGGCTAACCATTCCACAGGGGGCTGCCCCAAAGGGGTACTCCGGGGGCAATACCTACGGAGAAAAAGACAAAGTGGACACCACACAAATCAGGCAACGTCTCGACCCACACAAAACAATGGCCACAGTCAACCTAGAAATAGGCCTGATGTCTTCCTTCGAAGTGGGAGAACAGCTGCCCATGAGGCAGGGAACAGTAAAACGGTTGTACAAGCAAAAATCAGGTCCAGGTGAAAGCCAAAAGTCCAAGCGGATGATTAACCGGGACCTTCCGCCGGAATTCACAGCCGGTGATCGATAAAAAAATAAAAAAAGATTTTTTTAAAAAATGAAATAATTTATGATTACGCAAGCACAGCAAGAGAAAACACACTAGGTGTAAAACTCTGTGCCGAGGTTCACATACACAGAAATTTGATCTTATCTGGTGGACTAGATAAGCTGTCTGGAGTTTCCATGAGAATGTCACGCTGAGAAATAATTGAGATTTGTCAAGAGGGAGTAAAGTTAAAGATGAAAGGATCAACTTTATTGCACCAGATCTATCCAATATGGCTTGGTTTCTTTCTGCAAAGTGACAAACTGCCTGCTGGGAGAGTCACACAAAGTACGAACTCTATAGCTCCAATGACAATTGCGAGGAATTTCCATAAAAACTGCTCTAGTGACCGATGCAGATCGTGAAATGAACCCAAGATCTTCATAACATGAAGCAAGCAGTCTGACCACTCTGTCATGTAAACCGCCAGTGTGATTGAACACAGTAAAGAAATGCAAGGTACAGTAAGATAAGGCCCACTTCTGTCAGCGATGTAGCAGTAAAGAAATGCAAGGTACAGTAAGATAAGGCCCACTTCTGTCAGCAATGTAGCAGTAAAGAAATGCAAGGTACAGTAAGATTAGGCCCACTTCTGTCAGCAATGTAGCAGTAAAGAAATGTAAGGTACAGTAAGATAAGCCCACTTCTGTCAGCAATGTAGCTATAAAGTCAGCCAGGCAGAGGATCCTTTTCAAATTCTGGTGCATTGGGCGTTTAGTACCAGACCTGTGTGCACTCGATGGGTGATGTGGTCAAAATGCCAATCACCTTTACTACCCAAGACCTTATCTGACTGGGTCAATCTGGGAGTCAAGGTTTGTTTGTGGTCAAAAAATCTGTCTTATTGCAGATTTAATTAAAACAGCAAAAGATCATTAATAATAATGAAAAGCAAAAAGGTTGAAGACTATCACAAACAAGTGCAGGTAACAGATCACTTATTTACATGCATTCTAACCCCATTCATCTCCCCTGGTCCTGTTTTGTCATTCAGCATCAGGTTCGGAAGAGGCAATGGCTGTGAGCCTTGGAATGTGCTACACTGATGCTGGTACTTACGGCCCAGGTTATTAGCCTGCCAATGACCTGTAGGAAACCCAACCTCTGAATAGTGCACTGGACAAAACTGAGGCCGCCAGCTTGCAAAGCTCTGGTTTGCCAGGTGGGATGAGATCCATCAGGTTTAATACTTCCTCCAACAGAGACAGGCACAGCAAGTAAATGGTGACTGACTGGCCATAATACTTCCTCAAACAGAGACAGGCACAGCAAGTAAACGGTCACTGACTGGCAGTTTGTCAAAATTGGATGTGTGCCACTTGCCCCCTGTGAGGGCCACTGAAAGATTGAAGAAAAATTACTGATTGAAAAGAAAAAAAACAATGCAACAACTTGAAGAATGTGATAAAGACCTACCTGAAAGCTATTCCTTCATCCTCCTTCAAGCACCCATATTTTCTAGAAATTTCTCCAGATTTGTCTGCAAGAAGTGGGATGTTCATGGACCCCAGGCCACCCTGTTTGCGGGGTGTGTTGATCCTGTCAGAATAGAATATTTAAAAATGTAAAGTTGACAAACTGAAAACAAAAAGTACAAACAAAACAGTACAGGAAAGAAAGGATTTTAAAAGAGAGAGAGAGAGAGAGAGAGAGAGAGAGAGAGAGAGAGAGAGAGAGAGAAAAGAGAGAGAGAGAGAGAGGTAGGCTTTAAACTCAGGTGGAATGTTCTGGTTGATTTTGGTCTTTAGTTTGGGGGGGAGTGAAGGTAGTGGGCCTGTTCTTCCCTCCCCCCTCCAAGTGGTGCCCCCCAGAACCCACACAAGCAGAGATAATGAAATAAGTAGTTTCTCTAAGTGGGTTCGGGAACCCTTTCCCTTTCTTCAGGTTCACAAGTGTAAACTCCAGTGGAAAGTCGTCGCCCATCCCCATGTGAACTTGTTCCAGAACTTGAGTGATGTAAGCAAATCCATTCTATAGATCTCATTATTTGTATTCAGACTGTTGGTTCCCGCCCTCACATGCAAATGCACTCTGACTTCAAAGGAAAAACCTTGAATTAGTCACCTTTCATCACAGGCTTGTTGTTGGGGGGGAGGGGGTGGAACTGGGTCCATCTCCCCCACCCTCCAAATAAACTGGGGTTCTGGAACCAACACAGGGATCAGAAACCCCACCCCTGGAGACATAGACCCACTGTCCCTCTAACAAATCCCTAACAAAATTTGTTGCATTACTTTACAAGACACTGCAGAACCAACTCAGGATTTTTTTTTTTTTTTTTTTTTTTTTGGCTGTTGTGGTTTTTCTAGGCAAATTTAACGTTCATTAGTTTGCCACTGCTCTCTGAAAAGTGGATTCTCAATACCACTGTTGAAATCAACACAAGACAGCCTACTGCTGGGATAAAACCCAGTATCCCGTCATTGTGAAGTGTGTTCACAATGCCTGTGCCAAAGATGCCGGCTAACAAGTATGTTGTCAGAGGCCACTAATGGTTTGCTGAAACTGGCTTGGGTAAAAAGGCATATATATCACAGCTTAGCTGTAAATCACAGCATACCAGCAGCAGTTTATAGGCGAATGATGATGATGATGATGTTGAAGAAGACGAAGGAGGAAGAAAAAGAATGAGGAAGAAGGAGGAGGAAGAAGAAGAAAGAGGAGAAGAAAAGTGTAAATGACTAAGTTCAGTGCTGACACTTAAGGAAGGACAGAGGTTAAGAAAAGAGTTAGAACTGACCAGGCTAAATGTGAGTATACACTGTCAGTAGAACATGCCAACACCTCGCAGCCAATTGACTGGAAATCTTCTGCTCTATCACTGAAAGCAATGATCTCAGTTGGGCAAACAAAGGTACTGTTGAAAAAAACAAAACAAGCAAGAAATCAATTAAAAATTACTCATTTGCAGCCACACAATAAAATAATATTTCTGCTAGTACACACAATATACTTTGGTATATAGACATATAATCTCTAGGCCACTGAGTCTTTATAAACATGTGCATATAATTCCTGGGTCCTGGGTCAATATCCTGGGATAAAGCCCTTAGATAAAGTTTTAGTCAAGCCACTTCAGCCATTTGCTGGTATTCCTGAGTTAGGTAATGATTGCTTCCTTGTTAGTCAATTTTTTCCCTAGCAGATCACGATCCCTGTTGCCTGGAACAGCTCTCTTGATGATATCCCTCCATGCCATCGTTTCAGCCCATCCAGCTTCTCTCTTGGTCTGGCTCTAATTCTTTTTTCTCACTGTTCCTTCCAGTTGTAACGATGTTCTCCAATGTCTCTCTTCTCATTATGTGGCCAAAGAACAGTGTTTGTCTCTCTCTTATTGTTGTATACAGAGATCTACTTTCATTAGCTACTTTCAAGCAATCGTTGTTAGTTACTCTGACCATCCAAGGTATTTGTAACATTCATCTCAGAAACTACATCTCTGTTGCTTCAAAATTCTTAATTTGTTCGCTGACATTCTCCTATAAAGACTAATTGTCTTTTGTGACAGTATCACACACAAAACCTAGTGGTATATAAATATGCCCATGAAGGTGACTAACTATCCTGTCTTTCTGTGCTTACACACACTGACAATATCCAACAATAAACCAGGATGTGCTTTGTAATTTGAAAACAACAGAATATTCAGGCAGACAATTGCATCTTTGGGACGGGTGGTCCCCTAGCCAACACTTCTGCGAGGCTGGGAAGTGTTTGTTTCACATATTCTAGGTCATCTAGTGCTGCGTCACTCTGTGTTAAAACTGATGCATGACAAGTTTCACGTGGTCAAAGCCCTTTGGGAGTGAGTGACCAGTGTGTACACACAGATTACCACACACAGATTACCATGTTCTGAAGATACCATGTTCTGAAGAGAACTTCTGTGAGGACTAACCAGGGTGTGGCCACAGGAGTGACCATGGTGTGACCACAGGAGTGACCACAGGAGTGACCAGGGTGTGACCACAGGAGTGACCAAAGGTAATCAGACTGCTACATGTACCCCTGAAACTCTGTGCTGGCTGCTGAAGAAGGGGTTGAGGAAAACTGTTCTAGGCTATTATGACTAGGCAGACAATTCCTTTGCAGATAATTCCCATACAATTCTGAAAATAACCCGGTTCCTACTTGTATCAGGCTAGGTTGATGCGAGTTATAACGACTGGGATTAAAACAGTCATACCTGTGCTGCACGTTGGCAGGTAAAGGCACAAATCTTTAAACTAAAACTGAATATTTAGGCAGATTTACAGATAATAATCACCTGATTGAAAGAGGGAGGGAGGAAAGGATACTACTTCAACTGACTCAGGTCTATCAGTTCACTGCTTCTTCTTCTTCTTCTGCGTTTGACATCAGTCATGCTAAACATTGGGTCCTGATTGGGTCACAAATAGGATTGTGCATTTGAGGTCACCACTGGTCCTCCCCCATAGCTTCTCTTGCAATGTGGCTCCCTTGGGCCAGATCCACAGTCTTTGCTGGGAGAGGTAAGGGCAGTACTGTAGTATGTGCCCAGGGATCTGTCTTTCTGCTCCACAATAACAGGCAGCAGATTCTTTTATGCCTATCCTGTACAGGTGTGCTCAAAGACCACAGTGTCCAGTCCGAAGTCTAAAAATGGATGTTTGTTCTTTCCTGTTGAGTTCACTGCTAGTGAATGAGAGAGAGTGTGTGTGTGTGTGTGTCTTTGTGCATCTTATTTTGACAGAGACCAGGTGTAAAACAATCAGCTGTTTAGATATCTTTGGCATGTTTGACTTAATGTAGAAAGTACAATCATACATGCCACACTGCCAGGTATATCTATATATATAAAAATCAATGTTTGTGTGTTTCTTTGGTCTCTATAGACTCGGAAACTACTGAACCGATTTAGCTGAAATTTTCAGGATATGTTTGTTGTGATACCGGATTTTGAACCGTCGTGGTTTGAAATTCAACCTGTCACTGTTAGAGATAGGTGACCACAATTAATGCCAAAATATACGCAACTAATATTTATAACTTTAGTGATTTCTAATTATAGCCACGTTAGTAATTGCGCATGCGCCGTATTTACCATTCGCCGGCGAGTTACGTGCAGCCAACGCCTTCTCTAATAATAATACATAGAGTAGGCCTTGGTACAGCAAACAAGACTATCTCTATATTTGCCACAATAACCATTTTAAACACGATTTCTATTTTCTGTTTTTTTTTCTTTTTCAAACAACCTTCGATGGGGGGCGAGGACTTTTTCGACGTCGGCGCAGACAGTGACTGCGACATTAACTTCATTAACCGTGTTAGACACGTGCGAATTCTATTTCATTAATATATCTGGAGTATCTGTCTACAAGAAAACAATTGCCTGCGGTTTTGAATTGTGTTTTAATCGCGACACAGTGGTAAGGACACATATGTCTAATAGTTGTGTTCTCTTTTCGTTGTTCCGATTAAGTGGCTGCTTGGTCGAATGGTTAGAACACTGGGTTCAAGTGCGGTAGACCTGGGTTCGAATCAGCAGTAGTTAATTTTTTTTTTTTTTTACCCCGGACTAAAATAATATCCTCATCTGCTCTGTCATGGTGACAGCACTAGCCATGTTGCCTTAATATTAAAAAAAAAAAAAAAAAAAAAAAACAAGTAAATGGGTAAACCATTTGATAATTAAATTTGACCATTTCGCATACTTATGATTGTATTGTTAAACTTTCCGATTGCATGTTTACGCTGAAATTTTATAGATTTTCATTTATTTTCATTTAGATTTAGTTATTTCATCTGTGTTGGAATTTTAAGCTGTGCTGTTTACAATGGCGTTCATTTCCTAATTATGGTGTTTTTTTCCTGTGTTCATTTGCTTTTCAAGTGTTAATTTTTTTTTAAAGCCGTATTCACTATCTTTTACAATTCCTGCTCCTTATTTTAGTCCAGATGGACAGGGATGTCAATGTCAGTTACAGCAACAACAAAATATCGCCAGTTAGTGATTTTCAAATCCTTCGAAGAGGGAGAGAGCAGTAGTCGGTGGAAGAGGGGAGGGGAGGGGGGTAATGATTTAAATTTAAGAGAACTTAAAGAGCTTTACACGTGATTTTCAAGTTCTCATTACCTAATTTGTTTATATTTTACTAACGCTACCTCCGCTTTTCTATTTTTTACGACTTACTTTGTTATTTACAAGTACAGTTGTAGCTTTACTTCCGTCTCCTAAAAAAATACAAACAGCTTTAGCATGTGATAACCAAATAACCACTTTTGTTACCGTGCTAATAACACCATTTAAACAACCACTAATATAAAGACACAATTATATGGTGCGTATATTTGCCACAATAACCATATTAAACACGATTTCTATTTTCTGTTTTTTTTTTCAAACAACCTTCGATGGGGGGGGGGGGGGGGGGCAATCAAGGACTATCTCGACGTCGGCGCAGACATTGACTGCGTCATTAACTTCATTAGACAGGTGCGATTTCCATTGTCTTTCTTTTCTAAAAACCTTTGATGAGGGAGAGGGTACTAGGTGGATTTAGTTGTGGGGGTGGGGATCAAAGACTATCTCAAATTACGCCACAGCAACGCGTGGCCGGGTACAGCTAGTGATATTATAAAAGTGTAATGCAGCTGTTACCGTAAAGTACCTGTACTGTTCTCATTTAGTATGTATATCTACTTTTTTTTTTAATTTCGAAGATGGTGGTGTTATGCTTAACCAGGTTTCATGTAGTCTGACTAGTATCAGATTCATCAGTAGCATTAGCCTTATCTGTAGTGTTGATTATATAGTAGCTTTGTCAACTTTCTTCCCTTTTTGAATTATTGCACTACATGCCAGCTAGTCTGCACATTCATTGCATATATTAACATCTCTCTCTCTTTCTCTGGCATACATGTTTATCTCCACCATGCTCTCATCCATTCAATGATCATTTACCACATATATTCAACCTTGGGCTACAGAGAGGACCGTGCAATCGAGGTCTTCAATGCTGCCCCATAGTTTGTCTTGCAGGATCTCTCCTGTGGGTGAGATTTCTTCTCAGTGATTGGCAAGGTTCAGACTGTAGTTTGTTCTCTCTCTCTCACATTCTTTATCAACCTCTCACCCACATATTATTGCTCTCACAAATATTATCAACCCAACTCCATTTTTTCTAAGTCTAATCGCTCCCTCGCATTCACATCATCTTTCTCTACCACGTTCAGTACTCACAAGTCTAGAGGATAAAAGAACAGGACCACATATTTCCCGCGATAGTCAGACAACTTGACGGTCTTGAACTCTCCATCAATGACAGCATTAGCTTGGAACTCTGGGGCAGGTTTCGTGATCGCCAGGTTTCCAATTGCGGACATCTTCTGTGAAAAAAAAAATTTTTTTTTGCAACATTTATCTTAAGGCTGTCAATTTTTGCTTTTAACTGAACAAATGTTAGTTCCCTTGATTCTTGACTCTCAACGTCTGACGAAGAGACATTCTATCAGATACTGCAGCAGTTTCAACTTCATAGCAAATGGGCCAAACCATAGGTGAACTTGTTCTGTGCCAACCAAAACTACAGAATGTTCTGCACTGCTACATGCTGGGCACGGTCAAAAAGTATTCCATGCTCTCAACCTAGCAATAAACAAACAAGGTATTGATCGGCACTCACAGAAAGAAGTAGAAAGATAAGGCAGATGGAATCATGTCTGTATTCCATAGTTGTGGATTTCAAGCTGTGCGGTAGACATGGCCAATGAAGACACCTTTATTAGGAGTGCCTTGTTAGTCATGTTCTTAGTACACTTGTTTCCATAGCGAGGTGCATACACCATTTGGAGAAGACAGGTTTGATTCTCGGCACAGTAATTATAGCTTTTGATTTTTATGTTGTCTAGCGTGCCATTAATCTTTCTACTTCTTTCTATGGTGCAATCAATATTTTGTTTGTTTTATATATATTTTTTCTACAGCCTCAAGAGTTTCCCTTGTTTATCTCAATGTAGCAGCTGCGCAATAAGAGTACATCCCTTTAGTCTACGTACAGGGCTGATGAACAGGTATGACGATCAGCACTCGGTGGCTCTACCCTCTAGCAGAGTGGATTTTGAGGCGCTAGCGGAGTGGATTTTGAGGCGCTAGCGGAGTAGGTGTTGAGGCCCTAGCGGAGTGGGTGTCCAGGCGCTAGCGGAGTGGGTGTCGAGGCGCTAGCGGAGTGGGTGTCAAGGTGCTAGCGGAGTGGGTGTCGAGGTGCTAGCGGAGTGGGTGTCAAGGCGCTAGCGGAGTGGGTGTCGAGGCACTAGCCAAGTGGGTGTCGAGATGCTAGGAGAGTCCGTGTCGAGGCGCTAGGTGAGTGGGTGTCGAGGCGCTAGCGGAGTGGGTGTCGAGGCGCTAGCGGAGTGGGTGTTGAGGCGCTAGAGGAGTGGGTGTCGAGGCGCTAGCAGTGTGGGTGTTGTGGCGCTAGCAGAATGGGTGTCGAGACGCTGGCAGAGTGGGTTTCGAGGCACTGGCAGAGGCGCTAGCAGAGTGGGTGTCAAGGCGCTAGTGGAGTGGGTGTCAAGGCGATAGCAGACTGGGAGTCAAGGCGCTAGCAGAGTGGGAGTCAAGGCGCTAGCAGAGTGGGTGTCAAGGCGCTAGCAGAGTGGGTGTCAAGGCGCTAGCGGAGTAGGTGTCAAGGCGCTAGCGGAGTGGGTGTCAAGGCGCTAGAGGAGAGAAGGTCTACCCACTAGTAAAAATGAACATGATTAATCAAGTGTCTCCACATACTATCAAACGCCTGATGGTCTGACGACTGGAAAGGGATCTGTGTGTGTGTGTGTGAGAGTAAGTGTTAGGGTGGAGGTGTGTACAAATCCTTGACCTGACAATTCCATCAGCCCAGTTACGCCCCAGTATCACCTCTACCAGCAACTTGGGCACTTTCTGTTCATTAGGTCAAAGTAAGGACACAACTTTCCCGTTAGCCAGCGAACTACTGCCAGTGCCTTGTGGTCTGCCCTTCGCGGTTCCTACCCTGTCCAATCATAATCTACAGCTCTTCAAGTCATACTAAACACGTAAATGATTTAACACAAGGCGCGCTCCAGTTGTCAAAGCACTATGACGATTTCACTCATATTACATCAGGCAAGTGACGCAGACGGCAGTTCACGGTGTCCTGTCCGTTCCCATGTCACAGTTTCAAGCGTGACCATCCATGCCTTTCCCTCCTAGGGTATGTGACATCAGAGGAACGCCACCCTGGCCGTCGCTGACGCCTGCCTAGCATTTACATGTAACAGGTTGTCTGAACTTATTTGCAGAAATTAAACATGTTTGACAGGGGAAAGTTATCTCCTGATTTTACATAACCTGCGTGGGTTCCGCTTCCCCTCTGTGGTAGGGGAGAGAAGAACAAACCCAGTGCCCTCTAACAATCAGGGTTCCACACAGAAAAGGGTTTGAACACAGGTTCAACCATCTTCCCTGGCAAGAGCTACCTTGCTGACCTTACTTAAATTCTCCGGTTTTTTTTTTTTAGGCGACTAGATTATGCAAGAATGTGTGTGGTTGTGCGCGCAATTCCAGCGATTCGTTACATACTAAACACAGAACCGCCGAAATGAAAGGCCGGTAGATTAGCCAGTAGGTATATGTACCAGCCAAATGATTGCCAGTACTACATACGATTTATGTCAAATATTAGACAATAAAGCGATCGAGAACCCGGACGTTATTAAAAATATATTATGAAAAAAAAATCGTATGAATTATTCACACTCAAATATGGAGAGAAGAAGCTGAAATAGGATACACTGCTAACACACAAATCAAATGATACACACAGTTAACATACCGGGGGTAGGGCGTGTTTTTTCCAAAATATCAATTTTTTTATCATCCTGGTACTTAGATGGCCACAAGGCCGTCCCCAGCAAAGGTACATTTTTGTGCGTTACGTACAACACAATGGAACCGACCAATCACATCTCTTCTTCAAACATTCTTGGAATACTCGACACACCAGACGGTTAATGGTACCCTCTGAGTCGGAACTCTTCAATGGCTGCTGCAGGTGGGAACGGAGCGCTTATGTGAATGTCCCGAGTGCTGGTTGTGGTAGCGGTTCTCAACTGCCTGAACTTTTATTATTCGAGCTATATTGTTGTTGGTCTTCATCTATAGCATGTCTTTTTCTGTAGCAGTCTATGTTCATTGCTTGTGTGCAGCTGCATGTTACATGGATATGCTTAAGTATTAATGTAAACCCTCGCTTTTTTTTTCTACTGTCACAATGACCACGTTCATTAATAATACTTTGGCATCATCATCTTACTTCATCATCTTAAATCACATCACCAATGAATCTGCTTGCGGTCTCAACCTAAGCGAGACAAACCCAACCAATGTTTCATATTTCAATACTCTTGTTCCCTTAAAACTGTTCAGGGCTTTGATTGATGTAGAAGTCAAGGTTAAACTTCGTATACAATTCCAAATCAACGACTATTTGTGACAAATAACGATTCCTCGCTAACTGATATTTCAGCTGTGAGTTTAATTCCTATACGACCAGGCATAGTCCTAGCACTACAAATTTCTCTCCAGTCTTTGAGAGTTGTGAGAGCTGTTGGCTACATTCCAAAGATAGTTGTTTTTTCCCAAGTGGGACCCTCGTGGGGTGCAATTTTTGGTTACTTTGAAGCCCCACCCTGGCTTTTGCCGGGGGCGCTGAATAAAAATATGGCCCTCTAGCCATAGATATGGCCAAACGACTGAAAGGGGTTTCTGTGACCTCTCCTCGGGCGATCCTCCTCCACATGGTGGCACTTTGTGTCACCGGGTGTTTATCGCTTGTGTGATGTCCTGGCGGGGTACAACTACCTACCTACTATTCCAACGATCCTTCCCTGCCAATAGTAGTTTATGATCAGAAAAATCGCCACGTTTAACCAGCATCCCCTAAGGGGGGATGCTTTCGGTTATAATTACGACTAAGCTATGTGCGCCATATAAAACGGCTTAGCACTGCAGGTCAACAAAAAGGACTCCTGCAGTGTTGATGTGATTAAAGAAGACAGACCAAAATACTGCCCCGACCGGCGACGAAGTCGTCTACCGGCCAGCTATTAGGCGACCCTCTTGTATAATGACTGTTGCAGGTAGGCTCAGGGTGTTGCGGGCCAGGTCACATCTCAGGAGTGGCCGCCAGGGCTGCCAATGCCGGGTCCCCCCCCCCCCCGAATCTGGGTTTTTCTTAGACGAGATTTCCCTTAAGTTTAGGGAAATCTGGGTTTTTAAAAAAAAAATATATCCTTATTTAAAAGTGGTAAATGTTTCGTTTCGTAACTATAAATTTTGTACATTTTAACTTGTCTGTGTATTGCTTGGATTTTTGTTTAGCGATGCTGGATTTTTCAACAACAAAAACCCACTGGCAGCCCTGGTGGCCGCGGATGGGAAGCACCTTTTGTGTGAGGTCCTAGCTAGACGGAGCTAGAGGTCACGGACTGTGAGGGGGGGGGTATTGGATGGCGCAAGCTGAAGACAGTTAGTTGAAAGTGTGTGTAGGCTTGATGGAACTGGTCGGGGAGAGAAGGGGTTAGAGCACAGCTTTCTACAGATATCTGGATTCGTGAATGCAGAGACTGGCCAGCGGGCTCTGCAGAGTCAAAAGTTCAACAATTGATACATGACAATGTTCGCCAAGTGATGGCTCTGTGTTTGGGGTGGGGGTGGGGGGGGGGGGGGTGGGGGTTATGGGGGTTGTTGGCAAACGCGAATGGACGTTGCTTGGTGCAACGGAGCCTGAGATGTGACAACACGGCGTTAGGGAATATGGATGAAAGTACTCACTGCAGCCTATTGCTGGCTAGAGAATCAGTTGTACCAGGGCTCCCAATGCTGGGTCCCCCCCCCCCCTCCCCCAGATCTGGGTTTTTATTTGACGCCTGGGGGAAAACTTTTTTTTTTTAAATATATCCTTATATAAAAGTGGTAAATGTTTCGTTTCGTAAATATAAATTGTGTACATTTTAACAATCTGGGGTTTTTGTTTTTTGTTCTTTGTCTATGAATTGCTTGGGTTTTTGTTCAGCGAAGCTAGGTTTTTCAAAAAAAATCCCATTGACAGCCTTGGGTTGTACACACGTCGTAATTGTGGCCGAGTAAGGTGGAGATCGCTATGTTCTGTGAAATGTGGTTAACATCGTTTGGGGAGTAGCGGATGGTTAGCATACTTTGGAGGTTTTTCTCGGTAATGTCAGTGTATTGGGAGGTAAACAGGCGGACAGACTGGCTAGTTCTGCACAACTTGGTGGTGAATTATGCACGAAGGCAAGATGTTGTGGGGGCCGTTTCGGGATGAGCGAACATTGCGGAAGCACAGATGGAT